TACAGATGGATAATTTTTCAATCCATTTTCGGATTGTTCATTTGGACAGGAACGCCACTTAAAATGACAATATATATTCTTCGCCTTGCAATAGAATAGAAAGCGGCATGTAAAATGTGTAAGTCATGTGACATGAATACCTAACGTGTTTCTTGTCAGTGTAATGCGTAGCGCCAGGAGATTTATATCACCACCCAGCTATCAAATTGCGGTATTTATATATATGTCGCCAACCCACCCATCCAGGAAAAGGGTTCGACTTTTGAACTTCTGTTTCAACTGTACTGAGGTATGTAATTAGGCTCCAATATTGTTTTCTATAGCAAACTCGTCCAGCCATCCGGCTTACTGTCACACACCGTGTATAAACACACGGCTTTTTAACCGACACCTGTCGTTACTACCCGCCCACTGTGCTGTGATTGGCTGATCAGTGCAGGAGTTAAAGTCAGTTACATTAATATACTAATACAATGTGTGATGTGAAGTATTTGTAAGGTGGCTGCTAACGTGTTTATATAGAGGGTGTTAATAGGTAATCGTGTCACACTTCTAAGGATATACATGTAGGCAGGTCAACGTCACATTAGGACGCAGTAAACATATAATACACTGTCTTAACAACGACGACAAGTAGTTCATCTGAAAATACACATAAGTGTGTTACGCAAATCACTATTGTTTTTTTTTTTCGAAAGGTGAACAAGTGATTAGAGCTTCTCGAGAAGGAGCCGTGATGAAAAATATGAGTGAAGTACGGGACTATTCGGACAGCGATGAGGACGTTAATATTGATGACGATGAGGAAAGTGTACCACACAATACAACACATTCTATACAAACGATGCTTGCGGGAGAAGGTTGTCAGGACTGTGGTTCCTCCTCTGATGCAATTCCAGCAAAGACAGCACAACGACCATCCTTTCTGATCACAGACATTCTTTCTGATTCCCGTTACAATAGAGACAATAAACAGGGGTCCTCTAGTCCTATTAGTCCAAGTGAACAACGAATACCGTCAGTGAGCGGTGATTCAATCTACAGTAACAAGGATTCGTTAGATTCACCCCCAGAAGGTACGTAAATAACGCGAAATCTTCAACAAAATGACTCCCATCTAAAATCGACACCTATGGCAAAATATATGAGGGTATTGACTGGTGTATAGCATAATGTTTTAAACCTGATTTAAAGGCGCAAAAGTAACTAATATAGTTTCTGAAGTCAATTAATATCAATTTTAGCCTTTCCACAATATACTAACTTTTTTCCCATAAGACATGAACATTTTTGTATATAACTCCTAATCATATTTTCGATTATTTTCAGGTTATACAGACAGATTATTAGGTCATCCTGAACACACAACATACAGTTCAAAAGTAAAAAAGGCGCGAAAGGCAAGAACGGCTTTCACTGACCACCAATTAAACAGTTTGGAAAAAATATTCGAACGTCAGAAATACCTCAGTGTCCAGGATAGGATGGAACTCGCCGCCAAACTAAGCTTAACCGACACCCAAGTGAAGACATGGTACCAGAACAGAAGGTATGTGTGACTGAAAACACACTGAACTTAGTACTGTCATAGCAAGCTGTTTGGTATTTATCTGTTCACAAAAATTCATACCGAGGAAGACATCGTTTTATTTTACATCTTTCAATGGAAGCATACTATTAACAGAATCATGTAACAGTAGCAAGCACTGGTACACGCCATATAAAATATTAAAGCATTGTCGTTCAATGACTTTAACAGTTATCAATAAAAATCAATAATGATAATTTCATGCCGATTTCTACTGAAAGTCAATATTCTCAATCACATTATCGGGGTATTAGATTCGTGACAACCTTTTCTAGTTGTTTATGCTAAATAAATTGCCCTCATTAATTATTACTATGAAGCCATTTTGAGCCTGAGAATGCTATCGATCATGCATATTGAATATGTAGCAGCACACCACTCAGTCAAAAATCCAAATAATTATTCGCAGAACCTATTTCAAGCCACGTGCACAATTACATTAGCTATTCAACTATAACACAGAAAAGGATATGATTATGTGGATCATACATTATATATAAGGAAAATACGTGCAGTCATTGAAACAGCTTTCAGGAGGTATTGTGATACTACGAATACTGTTTATAGTTATTTGTAAACAGCTTCATGTGAACTGAAGGTGTGAGAAATATGAGATTATGATGATAAACAATATACCAATTGCAAATACCAATAATCTATCCGGTATATTGCGTTTTACACCTTTGAAATTAAACGGTGATACACAAATTTAGTTAGGTGCATGCCGATGAAATCATCGTATTCAAAATTGCTTCATTTTATTATATTTTTTCAGAACCAAATGGAAGAGGCAAACAGCTGTTGGATTAGAACTTTTAGCAGAGGCTGGGAATTTCGCGAGTGTTCAGAGGATGATGGTGGCTAACCCTTACTGGTCAGGTTACAGCGAACCAACCTCTTCGTTTCTACCCAATGGACTATATCTACAACATACAAACCCTTTATCGCCACCCGTATTACCATCAAGACCGCTTATGCCTCCAATGTTTCTTTAGATATCCTCCATAACTTTACCGTTTTAAAACAACCACTTCAAACATGTTAAAAAAGGCCTAGAGATCATATTTCTGATTATATTACCAAACTATGATCGCTTTATACTTATAGTCACTGTTATACGATAGTGCATGTTGGTGTGAAGAAAATATGCTGAAACAACAATGGTAATAACACGTGTTGAAATGCTGAAATAGAAAGAAAAATATTTAAAATATGTTTTGTTATTCACTGTTATGACAGGAAGTTAACGTTTATAATAAATGTTTAAAGTTTTATTTCAGTTGTTGTTTGTCTATTTATCACAAGGGTTTATCTATTATGCTTCATGAGGCAGTGTGTACATTTCAGCATACAAGGATGTACTGATCGCAAATTGTTTATTTTCAAAGGTAATAAGAAAGCACTTGTCGGAAGCTTGACATCAAAACCTCAACCATTGTCAGTGTTCAACTCTTTTATTGTGACGTCCGTGTTCTGTCTTAATGAAATCCAAAATAACTAAGGACATGCTGAAGTATTATTATGGGTTTCTTTTTTTAATGTTTCCACACTATTTTTGTCGCATATGTTAATAGGAAGAGTTATTTTATTGTTTCATTGACAAAACATGATTTTCAAAAGTTGAGGAGCAAGCTTCTATAATACTGAAAACTCGCATTACATCAACGGGTTCTGTATAGAATGAAGCTGCTGGTATACCTTGTTCGTTTATAAAATATCTATTTTATATTGCACAAACAGCAGCTATCTGTCTAATTACTTCTCTTTCTCTCTCTCTCAAAAGGGTCAATGCATTAGCATTGCTATTATCTTTTGAGGCGCCTATGAATTCATTAAATCTGCCATTTCAAAAGAAATGTCAACTTGTGCTTAAAACACAGCCATCCCTTGTTTGTCACGTCTGTGTGTTATCAAGGCTAGGACAGGTATAGTATTACAGAGAATCTCTTCAGAGCAGTGGAAGTGGCGCAAGATAACGATCAGAAATCTTCTAACACTTTATACAGCCCACTAGTTTTGGTTTTAATGGCGCCATCATACAAAGCAAATGTTTTCAAAAGTTACGTCGAGGTGACTCGTTACCAAACTTCACAATAGGTGTGTCTTTGTGCGTGCCTATAGTACTGAGTGGAGGGGTGGCACCTATCATATGGCTAGTGAGATTTGTCACTCATTGTTACAATTACAACTACCTTTTGACCCTCTGTACAAATTCGAAACAAAAATATCTAATTTCTTGAAAATTATAACATTCACTTATATAAAGAAGTTGTATTAAAAACAAACATATGCGTGTAATAAAAAGCTCAAAATAAATGACCAAGTGATAATGAATGCCGAACATTCTCATTGCAATACTGATGCTTACCATACTATTCCATCCACTACTTTCAAAACATTCTCATTGCAATACTGATGCTTACCATACTATTCCATCCGCTACTTTCAAAATATTTGTCTCGAATTCTGCTGAAAGTATAGTCGCAATAATTACTTAAAACATTTGTATACCGAACAGAAAGATTTAGTATATTATATAGGTGTATGTTTAATTCTGTATCGTATAAATATCAATGCAAGTTATGAGGTTTTATAACTCCAAAACTTGCTTAATAACTTGACTATTAATACATAAAAAGTTTATCGATTGTCTATAGAGTATAGCTTTCAAAGTTAGAGAATAAAATTAATTATATAAAACTCCACTTTGACAAATATCTGGTCAGATAACAAAGCCCCTAACTGACAAGAATATATATTTAAGCATGTCGTCGTTACGTGCTGGACGTGAATTTAAGTCATGTTGTTCTGATATTGAATGACATGTATTAGCTTGACATTTCTTATCTGATGCTGATTTAATCATCTTAAGTATCAATGCGGACAGAGTGCATATTCTCTGATAGTTTTGCAAAAGATCCTGAAACAAGCTCATCATTTACTGACTTTCTTCAATTATGGTCAAAATTTATATAGCCACATACAGGTAAACAATATCTTTTTGAGATTTGCTGAAGTGATCTATTACGATCGTTTTTCGTTCGTCGTCGTACATGCGTCGTGCTTTGTCCGTTATTTTTTTACATTGTTTTTACTTCTTAAGAACCGGTGAATGAATTTCTTTCAAACTTTGTTAGAATAACCCTGAGTTGAACGGGAATCAAATTGAGAAAAAATGAGGGGTTTTGTCCCAACACCGTTGGTCAGAACGGGGTCACAAAATGTTGTGGCCAAAATTGTAAATTCCATCATTCCAGGGGCATCTTATTTTTACTAGATTCCTGTAAAAGATATCAAGTTCGGAGATTACCTATAAGGGATTTTTTTTT